CCCTCCTCCTCGCCCCACGGCGGCAGCTGCCCGGCGGCACCTGCCTGCCTCCCTCCCTCCCGCGCCACACGCCGCCGCCGCTGCACCGCTTCACCCGGCTCCCTGCCGCCCTCCCCACCCCCGCGCTGGCCCGCAGGCCCCTGTACCCCATCATCCGTGTGGACGAGAACTCCACAGGCAACGGCTATGTGGTGAGCTGGAACCCCGACCCGCCCAACCCGCCCCAGCTGCTGGCAGATGATCCCACCAACGCGACTCTGCTGAGCATGTGGAACTACAACGAGACGCTGTACTCGCTGGGGGGCACCTCCCGACCCTTCTGCTCCTTTGAGATCAGCCAGGAGCTGGCGGGGCAGCTCGGGGTGGCCGACCTGGCCAGCAGGGTGAGCGGCGGCGAGCGGCGGCCGCGGCTGGCGCCACATGTGGGCCAGGAAGGGCTGTCTGCAAGTGCCTGGCCGCTGCATCACCTCCCCGCCACCCCTGCCATCCCTTGCCTCCTCTCCCCGCCACCCCTGCCATCCCTTGCCTCCTCTCCCCGAGCCTTGGCCTGACCCCTCCCCGCACCTCCCCGCCGTCCCGCCCGCTGCGCGCCGCCCCCCCCTGCAGCTGCAAGCGCCGTGCAGCTTCCCCGAGGGCCAGCGCTACTTCCCCCTCGCCGTCGCCATGGACAACCTGACCTCCTGCTCCCGGGAGGGCAACCACGCGGGACGCTGGGCCGCCCGGTTTGGGGAGCTCATCCAGACCCCCACCTGGGTCGACAGCCAGCAGGGCGCCAGGTGGGCGGCGGGAGGCGGTGTTGCAGGAGTGTGTGGCGGCGGCGGCGGTGTTGAAGAGAATCTGTGTGTGTGTGTGTGTGTTGATGTGTTGGTGGTGGTGGCGGTAGGTACGCGCGCCTGGTGGTGCCAGCAGCACCTGGCTGCTTGCGCAGCAAGCGGGAGGCGCGGTCATGTCCCCTGCAGCAGAAGCCCGGCCCGCCAGCACGCGCCCGGCTCGCCCTCGCTCCACCTGTCGCCCCCTGTGCCCGCATGTGCCTCACCACACCACAACCCCACCTGCCCCTGTGCCGCCTGCGCGCGCAGGCTGATGCGATCGGTCTACAATGAGTCCCACTTTTCAGCGCTGCTGGGAGTGATGGCAGACATGACAGACATCTGCGAGACAGACGCGGGTGAGCGCAGAGTGCACCGCGCCCGTCCATGTCATGCCCTGTTGGGGAGGCACCTCCACGTTCGCTGCATCGCTGCCTGTGCCTGGTGCCAGCCGCTCCTGCCACCGGCGGCCCGTCCGCAGCTTGACGCTCCCCGCCCGGGCCGTGTGCAGAGAGCAACACCACCTGCTGCACGCGGCAGGGCGACTTGCTGGAGGGCGCCGCCGTGCTGAGCGATGCTCTGGCGCTGGCCATGACGGGACACTCGCAGCCGGTGGCAGCCGGCGTCACGGGCGTGACGGTGCTGCAGGCGGTGGAGGCGGCGGTCAAGGATGGCGGCGCGCCGCGGGACGGTGAGCGCGGCGCTCGCCGCGGCCTCGCCGGGCGGCCGGCCCTGCTGCCGGGCCCGCCCGCGGCAGCGCCCGCCGTGCCTCCATGCTGTTGTCGGGCGGGGCTGATGCGAAGCCTCCGCCGCCGGCCGTCTGGCCTTGCCCCGCCTGCGTACTGCCGCAGGACAGTGGCAGTACCTGATTGGGCGCGCCGCCCTAGACTCGCTGTTCCAGATAAAGCGCTACGCTGGCTGGGTGGCCAAGGAGCAGCCAGAGTGCTCGGTGAGGTGCTGGGCGGGAGGCTGGCTGGGCTGCCGCCCACAAGCCCGCCCGCCTGCCCCTCCCTGCGTCGTCTGCGATGCGCTGCCTCCCTGCCTGTGCCTGCGCCACCTCACCTCCCTGCCTGTGCCTGCCCCACCTCACCTCCCTGCCTGTGCCTGCCGCAGTCTGATTTTGGCGAGTACATCCGAGCGGTTACGAAGAACATGGCAGCCGCCCTGAGCGCCGAGTGGCTGCAGACCAGCGTGGAGTCAAACGACACGCTGAAGCAGCTGATCGGGCCGCGCATGCTGTGGCCGGTGCGCCCCTGCCCCTGCTCTCCCTCCCAGCCGCACCGCCCAGCGCGCCGCCCCTGCTTAGGCCCTCCCCGGGCCAGGCGCACACCTGCATGCGCGCCGGACGCGCCGCACGTCTTGGACGCTATTCGAGCCCCTGCGTGACACGCCAGGCGCTGCGCGGCTCAAAGCTGCTACCCCTCCCTGTTTGCTCGCCACCCTCGCCTTCCACCCGCTCCCCTGCTCCCTCCCTCCCCTGAGCGCAGCTGGCCCTGGTGGAGGCGCAGCCGCTGACGCTGTACATGTGCGAGGAGTTCACGCTGACCCCGCTGTGGATGCGCCTGCTGGATGTGCTTGCGGGCGGGCCGGGCGACACGGGGCTGCAGCTGCAGCCCGGCGGCGCCGCGGGCGACACTCCCGAGGTCTCGGCCGACCTGCTGCCGGCGCTGTACATGATAGGAGGCGCGCTGCCTGCGTCCTGCAACGCCAGCTTGCTGGAGGGGGAGGGGATACCCGACGGTACCGCGCTCGCCGACCTGGCAGTACCGCTGCTGCAAGCCATGCAGCGCTGCTACCTCACCGACCCGTCCAACGCCGAGGCGCAGCGCTGCCTGTATGCCATGCCCTTTGCGGCCTCGCTGGCGGAAACAGATGACTTCCAGGCGCAGCCGCAGGGGTCGGTGGCGGTGGCGGCGATGTGGAAGCGCACGCTGCCCTGGCTGCTGGCCACCACCAATGTGTCGGGTGGGTGCGGCAGTGCGTGTGTGTGTGATGTGTGTGTGATGTGTGTGTGTGTGATGTGTGTGTGATGTGTGTGTGTGTGATGTGTGTGCATGTGCTGGTGGTGTTGCGTGTGTGTTTTTTGCATGGTGGTGCTTGTGAAGGAGGATTGGGAGGTGGCGCTGCCGCTGTGGCGGACCGGATGCCAGCACAGCTGCCGCGTCGCAGACCGGCGCTACCTGCCCAGCCCTGACGGCGCCCCACCTTGCACCCATGCCCTCCCGCCCGCGCGCAGGCTGCGGCGAGTTTGCCTCCGACCCCACGCTGTATGCGCGGTGCATGCGCCGCGCCGCCGACCTGACGCCCGAGCTGTCTGCGCTTGCCAACACGCTCACCCGCGTCAGCAGCGCTCACTACGCCGCCTTTGTGCAGTTCCTGGAAGGTGGGCGGGCAGCTGCACAGCAGCTGCACGGCTGCATGCAGCCGGAACAGCGCGCCTGCCATGGCAGACTCCCAGCACCAAGCGGCATGGCAGCCGCCACGGAGGCACGCTCCCTCGCGCCGTCCCTTCAGCCTCTGGCTGTTGCCCCCGTTGTTGCTGCCACCGCCAGCCAACTGCGCACCCCTCCTTCCCTGTGCCTGTGTGGGGCGTGGCTGCAGAGAGCTGGAGCCCCCAGGCCGGCACCTCCCTGTGCGGCCTGCTGTCCAGCACTGTGCCGCCTATGAGCCCCAAAACGTACGACCAGCTGATCGCCCTGCTCACGGCTGGGCCCGGTGAGCCCTCTCTCCCTGCCTGCCGCCTCCCAGCTGCCCAGCCGTCTGGCCAAGCGCACCGCAGCTGCTTGCTGGGCACCATGCTCCTGCTGCCCCGCGGCGCCTGATCCGGTGCTGCCTCCTCTTCTGCGCCCCGGCCCCGCGCTGCAGCCAAGGACTGCCAGGCTGGCTACAAGTTGCGGACTGCCGGCATGGCGGAGCAGATGAAGGAGGTGTATGAGGCGCATGCGGCAGATGCCTGCCAGTATGTGGCGCAGCAGCTGGAGGCCTGGGCAGACGAGGCAGGTGGCACGTGACCTCCACCCCTGCTCTCGCTCCCCATTGCTGCTCCCTCCTGCCAGCACCCCCGCCCCCCACTTTGAGCTTGCAACACCTACCACTGTTCTACTGATCGGCGCCTGGCGGCAGCCTGCCTGGCTGCTGAGTGAGGGCGAGCAGCGCCGGTGACCCCTCTCCATGCAACCCCCCTCCTATTGTCCTATGTTTCGTTTCATGCTGCCCACACTTATTTATTCGCTCGGCTTTGCTGCTCCCATGCAAGGCTGTGCCAGTTGATCAGCGTGCCTCGATGCATGCCGCCTCTTTTTCTGCTTTCTATCGGGTGTTGACTCTCTATCTGAAAATGCAAGTCCCTCCAACAAACGAACGTACCCCTCTCTCTGTTTGCATGCCAGCTTCGACTCCCCAGTACTGGCTAAGAGATGTGCACCCTACTATTCACGTGTCGCCGACACAAATCTGACGTTCATTCTGCCTGTGTTGTTTGACTGTTTTGCACGTCGCTGAGCCAGGAGCGGGACGTGCGTCCTGCTCTCTTGTAGTACATGCCGGTTACCGCACTGTGTTTCTCTCTCTGCAACAACACATGGATCGTGCAAGCAGGGGCAAGAGCTGCAGTCCAGCAGGCGGCAAAGCGGGGCGCTGGAGGGAGGGATGGCATCTGTCGCTGTAATGCGGCCCTAGCTGTGCAGCCAGGCCTGGGCACCGGCCGTCAGCTGCGGCAGCTGGTGGTAGGCCACCAGTGCCACCACAAACGCCGCCGCGTCGTCCAGCAGCCCCGTCGCCAGGCGCTGCCAGGCGGCCAGCAGGCTGAGCCGGCGCGCGAGGCCGGGCACCGCGCTGGCCAGCCGCATGAGCAGGCCGGGGGTGTGCAGGTCGAGCTCCAGCTGCAGAGGTGCAGGGGCAGGGCGGGGCAGGAAGAGGTGTTTGTCAGAACCAGCGGGGCAGTGGTGGCCACTGGGATGAGCTGGCACACAGATGCTGCAGCCGGCAGGCAGCAGGCCGGCCAGCCGGGCTGCCCCATGCTTCCAGCGACCCTGCTGGATCTGCCACGGCAACCTCACTCACCGTGCTGTGCACCAGGCTGGGGGCAGCGGCCAGCGCCGCCGCCGCAGCGCCGATGAGGCTCAGGCTGAGCAGCGCGACGGCCGCTAGTGGCGGCAGCCTGGCGGCCGTGTCCAGCGCCGCCTGCACAGCCGGCACCGCTGCCAGCGCCTCCAGGCGGGCGTGCAGAAGCTGTGGCAGGCCCACCAGCCGCGCCAGCCCGGCCTTGGCCTGCTGTGCCGCAGGCGATGCAGCAGCTGCAACCAGCTTGGCCCGTACGGCCTGCGCCGCCGCTGCCGCCGCCTGCCCGGCTGGCGAGCCGGCTGCCGCGGCTGCCTGGGCCCGCAGCGCCTGCACGGCGGCAGCGGCCTGGCGGCATGCCGGCGAGGCTGCTGCCTCGGAGAGCCTGGAGTGCAGTAGCTGTGCTGCAGCGGCAGCCTGGCGGCCTGCCGGGCTGGCTGCCGCTGCCGCCACCTGCGCCTTGACCTTTCTTGCCAGCCCAGCCAGCAGCTGCGGCTGGCGCTGCGCTTCCTCATGCTCCTTGACAACTCTCCCCAGAGAGGGAAGCGAGGACACCGCGGACCTGGCCTGCTGCACCAAGCCCTGCCACCTAGCCCCGAGCTCGGTCCAGGGCCTGGCAGAAGCGGGAACTGCTGCGGCTGCTGGAGCGGCAGGTTGGGAGCCGTGGCCGGCGCCAGCCTTGGCCACAGCGGCCGCATCCCAGCGTGAGGCCAGCAGGACAGCCAGCAGCGCCGCCAGCAGCAGACGCAGGCGGCTGGTGCCCAGCACCGCGGCGCTCAGGGTCTCGCCCGCGCTGACGCGCCGCAGCTGGCGCTTGGGGCGAGCGGCGGCGCCGGGTGCCGCATACTGCGCCCACTTGCTGTTGGTGGCGGTGCCCTTGGGCTGCTGCAGCTGTGGCGGGGAGATGCCTGTGCTCCTGCTGCGCACCGCTGCACCCAGCTCGGCAGCCAGGCCGCTGGTGGTGGGCGTGGGGGGCGCGGCTGCGGCAGCGGGCGGCGGCGGCGGTGCAACTGCCGCCTCGGCTGGCGCTACCGCAGGAGTCATCGCAGGGGCCTGCTGCGCATCCAGTGCGGCATGTGGGATGTCTGCAGCATATGCACCAACGGCAAGCCGCGATCAGCCACGGAGCGTGGGGCTTGGGTTGGTGATGGCGCGGGTGCCCGTCGGCGACGCACCTGGCGGGGCTCCTGCGACGGGGGAGGGCTCCTGTAGCGTCCCCGTGATCCTGGCCAGGCGATCGTCGCCCCGGGCCAGCAACTTGGCACGCCGAGCCTCTGCTGCGGCTTTGCGATCCATTGCAGCTGACTCTCACAGGGTGTGTGTGGGCGTGTGCAGAGCCAATTGATCACCTCTCAGATCAGCTGTACTGCCGCCGCGTACAGCGCCAAGTCTCCAGGTGCCTGCAGGGCTTCCACGCATAAGCAAGCATACTTTTACCGAGATGAACGGCCCGCAGCACATCCTGGTGACCGGCGGGTTGGGCTTCATAGGTGCGTCTGGGTGTGTGAGCGCTCCAAGGGGCCTCTCTGCGCCGGCAGGCCGCTCACACCCTGAGCGATGTGGCGCTGGGCTGCTCTGGCGCCATGCTGGAGCTCTGCTGCAGCCGCCGGGGCGGGGCGGCGGCCGCGGCGGCCGGGTTGAGCAGCTGCCTTTCATGCGCCGGCCTAGCACGCATGCCAAACCCAGCACTCTCAAACCCTGCCAAGAAACAGGCGCGGGAGCAAGCGCGCCTGAGCTGGCTGACATTCGACCTCGCGGCACTGCTCCCAACCCGCCCGCCCCGCCCGCCCCGCCCTTCTCCTCGGCAAGCTCTGCAGGAAGCCACACGGCGCTGTCCCTGCTGGAGGCGGGCTATGGCGTGACCATTCTGGACGATCTTTCCAACTCGTATGAGGAGTGCTTCCACCGCCTGAAGGAGCTGGCAGGCGGGCACGCCGCCAGGCTCGACTTTGTGAAGGTGCCGCGCGCGGCTGCATCCTCCTCGCTCGGGAGTGGTGCTTGGGACTGTGTGTGTGGGCTCCTGGTGTATGGATGCGCTCCAGTGGCTTCCCCTCCAAACAGCAAAGCCCCTCCTCCCTTGTCCCATGCAGGCCGATGTGCGCGACAAGGGCCAGGTGCTGCCGGTGTTCCGCAGCCGCCGCATCGACGCCGTCATCCACTTCGCCGCCAAGAAGTGAGGCAGGGGCGCTGTGGCCGCAGCATTGCCCCCACCCCAAGCCCCCAGCTGCCACGCTGCCGGTGGCGCTCCCTGGCACCACGCTTGCTCGCCATGCCTGTCCCACCCCTTCTCATTCCTGCCCATCACCCCCCCACCCTCGCCAGGTCTGTGGGTGAGAGCGTGGCGGACCCTCTGAAGTACTATGATCACAACGTGGGCGGTACAGTCGCGCTGCTGCAGGCGATGCAGGAGGCGGGGTGCCACCAGGTGGGGCCGCCGCCACATGCGCAAGCGCTGTGCTGGCACTGCCACCAAAGCGCCTCCCTTACCCTCGGCCCACGAGCATCGTCGGGCCGCCGCTGCAGCCCCGCTGAGCCCCACCGCACATGCCTGCTGGCTGCAGCTGGTGTTCAGCTCGTCTGCCTGCGTGTACGGGGAGCCGGAGAAGGTGCCCATTGATGAGTCGGCCCCTCTGCACGCCCTGAACCCTTACGGCCGCACCAAGGCAAGCGTTGCTGCTTTCCTGCCGGCCAGCCAGCCAGCCGGCCTGCCGCGCTACTTCTCCTGTCCGACGGCCCCGCCCGCCCACACAACCAGCACACAAGGCCCGGCTCATCCCCTCCGATGCAGGTGATGATGGAGGAAGTGATGGGCGATGTGGCGGCCGCCGACCCGCGCTGGTGCATCCTGCTGCTGCGCTACTTCAACCCTGTGGGGGCGCACCCCTCCGGTGGGCCCCAGCCTGTGCCTGCGGCAGTGCTGGGGATTGTGGCTGGTTTCAGGGCTGGCGGTGGTGCTCTGCGCGGGAGTACTGGCTGGCTGGTTGGAGAGGCGGGGTTGTGTTTTCTGTATGCCGTATGGCCAATGGTTGGGCAACCTGCCCTCCACCACGCCCGCGCCTGTGCAGCAGGGCGCATCGGCGAGCACCCCCAGATGCCCACCAACCTGATGCCATGCATCACCGAGGCGGTGCTGGGGCGGCGCCCCAAGCTGCAGGCGCGTGCGCAGGGCTGGCTCGGGTCGCAAGCCTGAGGCACAACCACACGCTGCCTGCACCGCCCTGCAAGCGGCGCGCGCCACAACCAAGGTGCCCCCAGCTGGGGCCATGCATCTCCGCAGTGACCTCCATGCCCTGCCCGCCCCCCCAACTTCCTGAGCAGGTGTATGGTACCGACTACCCCACCCGTGATGGTACCGCGCTGCGGGACTACATCCACGTGATGGACCTGGTGAGGGGGGGAGGCAGGGAGAGGTGGAGAGAGCAGCATGGTGGACGCGGGGGGTGGTGGCTCCTCCAGGACGTGGGAGGTTTTGCCGCGGCTGCGTCGCCGCGCAGCGCGACGCTAGTGCTGCTGCGCTGCCCCGTGCAGGCGGAGGGCCACGTGGCGGCGCTGCGCCGGCTGTTTGCGGCCCCAGACCTGGCCTGCAAGCCCATCAATCTGGGCACCGGCACCGGGCAGACGGTGATGGAGGTGGGCTGGCAGAGGCAGTGGGGGATGCCTGGAGCCATGCGCTGTGCTTGCCTGACGTCTGTCCCAGGCCCATAGATGCGCGCTGGCGGGGCTGGTGATGCTCTTAGCAGCACCAGGTGCACCCCACACACAGTCCCCCACATCCTGGCTGGCGCCAACCAGCGGGCTGCTGGCACCCCCCGCCGCAGATGATCAAGGCGTTCGAGGAGGCCAGCGGGCGCAGCGTGCCGCGCGAGCTGGCGGGGCGCCGCGCCGGCGATGCCGCCGCCGTCTACGCCTCGCCCCAGGTGCCGGTGCTGGGCTGCCTCCCTGGCTCGGCAAGAGGCTCTGGCTCACACAGCGCCGCCGGTTCTCCGGGCGGCTGCCTTGCCCTTGTGCTACCCGGCGCCTGTCCATCCTCTCCTGTGCACCCTCACACTACACACGCGTGCGCCTGCCCTCTGCAGCTGGCGGAGGCGGAGCTGGGCTGGCGCGCCCGCCGCTCCCTGCACGACATGTGCGCCGACCACTGGCGCTGGACGGTGGCCAACCCGCAGGGGTTCCTTACCAAGGCCCCGCCCGCGGTGGCGGCGGAGCCTGCAGGGACGATGGCCGCGGAGCCGGCTGGCCCGCTGGCCGCGGAGATGTGAGGGTGTGGAGTGAGGCGGCCGGCGGATGGGTGAGCTGTGGGCTGGGAGAAGCTGGAGTTGGTTGTTGCCGCCGTGGCATCAAACGCGCCACTGCCTCAGACAGCCTTGAGGGGTGTCGTTGTTTTGTTGCTGTTCACATAAGCTTGTACGTTGCCTCTGTGCTTTGTAATGTCATCGCTTGCTGGACCACGAGCCACACTGCCCTGCCACTGCCAACCGATCGCGCAGCCACGCTGGCAGCTGAGGCCTGCCATGGTACCGCTGACAGTCACTGCCAGCTGCGTAATGCAAGCCATGCCTGTTCTCTGCAAACCTGCCTGGTGGGCGCTGCCCTCGCCACCGGTCTCCCTGCTCACCTGCAAGCACGGCAAGGAGGTCACGGGAGGAAAGACGAGGGCACCAAGCGCCGCCGCCATGACGCAGAGGAAGCACAAGCCCCACAAGCGGTGATGTGTTGGCCGGCTGCTGCAGGTGAGGCTTGCGGCCCAGCGGTGCCCGGCGTTGGGGAAGCAGGGGCACTGTGGGAGGCGGGCAGACGCCTTGGCCTGCCATGCGCATGCGGCGGGAAGAGCAGCTCTGCTGCCGCCCACACCCCTTCCCTGTGGCTGGTAGGGGGCTGCTACGGACGGGGTGTCTGTGCGCACACCCTGGCAATGAAGAATCCGTGCCAGCAGCTGCTGTGTGTGATGTGCACCCGCGGTGAGAGAGCTGATGACGCGCCTTGTGCTTGTATGTGGTTGCCTGTTACACATGCTGCTGAAAGATCCACAAAAGTTGCTACGATACTGGATCAAGCGCAGGCAGAGAACAGCATAGCAAAACCATTTTGCTTTAGAAATTTGCGGGAAGGTGGTGCCTGCCTGTGGCGTCTGCAGACAGCTGCCCGCAGGTGCTGGCGATGCCTGTCGAAGCTGCGCTCAGGGCTTGCCCAGCGCCGACAGCTGGCGTTTTGGGTCCATGCACCCTGCAGCACAAGGAAACCAAATCACGTCAGCATGGCAGGCTGGCAGCAGCAGGTCGCGGCAGCAGCGGCCAGCTTCCAGCAGCCTTTAGTTAAGGCGGGCGCAGGCAGCTCAGCAGCGTGTGACTCGTTGGGAGTCCAGGCTGGCAGGAACAGGGGTGGCACACACCTGACCATCAGCCACGAGCAGCGACGGCGGCGTTGCCCGCAGCCGCCCCGCCCTGGTCGGCCACTGGCGCCAGCTCCACACCACCGGCGGCGTCTGCAGAAACGCATTCGCACAAGGGGTGAGGTGAAGCGGGTGGACAGTGCACGCAGCATGCTGCCTAGGGCAGCCCGGCTGGCTGTCAGATGGCGCTCGCTGAGGTGGCAGCCCAGGTGGCGCCTCACCTGCAGCCTGCTGGAAGAAGGTAGCACGCAGGCTGTCCACCTCCCCCATGAACCATTTCGACACTCCCCAAGCGCAGCCAACCACAATGATCAGCAGCGCTGCGGGGCTCGTCGAGTAGGTGGGCGCCTTGGCATCAATGATGAGCGCGCAGGTCATCCCGCCCGCAGCAGCGCCATGACTGCACAGGCAGGCAGCATGTGACGTCCAGCGCATGACGACAGCTGGTGTGCATGCCCACCTGGCGGCAGGCATGGCACTGGCGCGCCACTTGCCTGACAGGGCGGGCACGGTGGCGTGCTGGGTGATGGCCAGGGCATTGTAGCCGTTGATGCATGGTCCCGTGTGCGCCAGGGATACCAGAAGAGAGGCCGCAGCCAGGGCCATAGCCCGCGACGGAACACGCTTCAGCTGGCTGGCGCCCACTGCGGAGGCCACCCCCGCCGCGGCGAAGATGAACACCGCCGCCCACCAGCCGTCAAAAGCAAGGTGGAAAGGCCAGCAGGGGGGTGCCAGCTTCGTGATCAGGCCAACCGCCCACATGCCACCCCAGAGGAAGGCAAAGAAGTAGCGGTGAGCCGCCAGCAGCAGCCGCTTGGCAAGGTTCCAGTCCCGCGTCTTGGCAGGCTGCTGCTCCTGCTGGGCAGCCTCTTCATGCAACGGGTTTACCACTGCAGCCCGCATGTCGACGTTAGCCTGCAGGGGAGAGCGGCATGGGCAAGAAGGATCAACTGATGGATGGGGGCAAGGCGGCAGTCATTCTGCCTGGGGCGGTCCCGCCGTTGCACAACGTTTCGCTTCAGCGCGCACCGCGCGTCAGCCGATTGGGTGTGCAGCCTTTCGCAAGCAAGCACTGCTGGCCTGGCAGGCCTGGGGTCTCTCCTCAGCAAACAGCTGCTGCTGCCATCGAACAGCTGCTCCCGTCCACAGTTCAAAGCTGTCAAAGCCAGTAGGCGGGGCGAGCAGGTCGCTTCTGTTCCCCACGAGCCCTCCCAAACCACAAGGTTGACCTTCAGGCAGGCAGTGGCCTCCCAAGGCAGGCAGTGGCCTACCCACCAGCAGTCGTGGACGAGGTGGCTCGTGGAGGAGAGCTTGACAGCACTGTGTGAGCTATCAATGGCCTGAAAGTAGCTGTGAATAGGGCACACAGCTGCTTGTGGCTGCGATGAGATGATGGGGCCAGATTTGGGGGCCCCGCTGAGCTGCACAGCATGGGCGCCGCCTGTTGCAACCAATTGGTTCTGGTCGGATCAAGTCTCCTCCCCGAGATGAAATGGATGCATGTGACGCCTTGATCAAATCCATCTCTGGTGCTCCTTGGGTGGTGCCTGCACAATGCTGCTGGGCAATGCCAAAGGTGCCGGGCGGCAACGGCGGTGTCTGTCCCCGCCCCACCGCCCCTGCCAGCTCAGCGCATGTCTCTCCCGCGGGTTCAGCTCCACATGCCCGCCTCTCCTGACTGCATACACGTCTCTCCAGACTTCACTTGGGTGCACAGCGTGCTGGGACATGGAATGGCTCGACTGGCTCGCCGGCGCGTGCTACGCCCTGCCCGGGGTGCTCGGCTTCCATCCGCTACCAGGCACCAGGCAGCACAGGGAGCTGACTTTGCGTGTGCGGCGTGAGTTCAACGAGGAGAGGTTCAAGCCTGCCGAGCAGAGAGACCCAGAGCGCGTTCGCCAGCTGCGCATTCAAGATCTGCGGCTCGGCATAGAGGAGGGCGAGGTAAACCCGTTGCTGGCATTATGCGCCGCCGCCGACAGCAGCGGCGGCGCGGCGACCCCACTCTTCACCACTGCTGGCCTCACCACGGCCTCACGCCATTCAATTTACTGCCATGCAGTTCTGTGCCGCTCGCCTGGAGCGCAATTTTCGTGAATGGCAGGTGGCCGCTGCCCAGGCAGCGTGCTGCGCGGGCAGCACGTCCGCACACAGGCGGGTAGCTGCCTCGTGCGCAGCCCGCGCCAGGTTCTACCGGGTCAGGGCGCGGCAGGCGCAGGAGGAGCTGAGCGCGGCCCTTGAGCGTCGCCCAATCAGGATTGTGGAGCTTGCACGCATAGAGCTGCCTGCGCGGGTGGTGGAGGAGATGCGGGGCGTGCCGGTAACCGACCTGTGTGCAGCCTGCCACAAGCAGCTAGAGCTGGTGAGCTTGAGGGCTGAGGTGTGGGAGTGTGGGAGAGCTGTGTGAGGGATGTGTGGTGGATGGGACTGGCAGCAGGCTGGGGACGCCTTGTAGGCGCTGGCTTGACTACCTGCGTGAGTCCTGCTCTTGTCTTGCAAGATGCCTGCATGCCTGCCTCGATTACTGTGCTGCACCCGTGCCTGGCTTGCAAATGCTGCTTGCAGGCAGCATCAGCGGAGGAGCAGCTCAGACGGCACGGTCAAGTCATTGCCGATGATTACTGTGCAAGTGGTTGTCTGGCTGAGCAGCAGGCAGCCGCAGCGGCAGCACCACAACAGCAGGCCGAGCCACCTGTTGCGGGGGTAGCATCGGCGGCAACCAAGGAGGAGCTGCGGCAGGATGCACCGGCCTCAGACACGCCCACAGGGGTGCTGGACCTGCCGCTGTGCCACCAGCTACGGCGCTCGTCGTCAGAGGAGCATGAACTGGAGGAAGCGCCAGGCAGCGAGCATGCGCTGGCGCTGCCAGGAGGGCACGCGTCGCTGCTGCACTCGAGACAACACCATCAGGGGGCTGGTGCTGTGTTTTGAGGGCCTGTCAGGTACCCTACCGAGCCACACCACCACTTGTGTAATTTCTGCATCTTGTACTGGTGAGGCGTGGTGTGAGGGAGGGAGAAGGAGAGGGCCCTGGCGCGGCGGCATCCGTGGGCCGGTCTCATGTGTGTGGTGCAACCAGGGCGCTGCTGCACCCCCAGCCTGCACGGGCCTTCCTCTGTGGGTGATCTGCGTCAGTGAGGTGTGTGCCAGCGGGGCAGGCCTGAGGGCTGTGTGGACTGGAGGTTGTTGCCGCCGCGGCATCAAACGCGCCACTGCCTCAGACAGCCTTGAGGGGTGTCGTTGGTTTTGTTGCTGTTCACATAAGCTTGTGCGTTGCCTCTGTGCTGTGTAATGCCATCGCTTGCTGGACCACGCACCCTACTGCCCAGCCACTGCCAACCAATGGCACAGCCCAACGCTGGCAGCTGAGGCCTGCCATGGTGCCGCTGACAGTCACTGCCAGCTGCGTAATGCAAGCTATGCCTGTTCTATGCAAACCTGCCTGGTGGGCGCTGCCCTCGCCACCGGTCTCCCTGCTCACCTGCAAGCACGGCAAGGAGGTCACGGGAGGAAAGACGAGGGCACCAAGCGCCGCCGCCATGACGCAGAGGAAGCACAAGCCCCACAAGCGGTGATGTGTTGGCCGGCTGCTGCAGGTGAGGCTTGCGGCCCAGCGGTGCCCGGCGTTGGGGAAGCAGGGGCACTGTGGGAGGCGGGCAGACGCCTTGGCCTGCCATGCGCATGCGGCGGGAAGAGCAGCTCTGCTGCCGCCCACACCCCTGCCCTGTGGCTGTCAGTGGCCTGCTACGGACGGAGTGTCTGTGCACACAGCCCGGCGCCGGCATTGAATCATTCGTGCTGGCAGCAGCAGTGTGTGTTGCGCCCCTGCGGCGTGAGAGCTGATGACGCGCCTCGTGCTTGTATGTGGTTGCCTGTTACACATGCTGCTGAAAGATCCACAAAAGTTGCTACGATACTGGATCAAGCGCAGGCAGAGAACAGCAAATGTTTCCAGCACAGCAAATGTTTCCAGGCTGTGCTGCAGGGTGCTGCCATTTGTTGGGAGTCGGGATCGGTTCCCTTCACAGAAGGGATGAAAGGAGTGGCGCCCTTCAGAAAAATCTGGATGAAAGAGATGCATGTGACGCCTTGATCAAATCCATCTCTGATGCTCCTTGGATGATGCCTACACAATGCTGCTGGGCAATGCCAAAGGTGCGGTGCGGCAATGGCAGTGTCCGTCCCCGCCCCACCGCCCCTGCCAGCTCAGCGCATGTCTCTCCCGCGGGTTCAGCTCCACATGCCCGCCTCTCCTGACTGCACACACGTCTCTCCAGACTTCACTTGGGTGCACAGCGCGCTGGGACATGGAATGGCTCGACTGGCTCGCCGACGCGTGCTTTTCCCTGCCCGGGGTGCTTGGCTTCCATCCGCTACCAGGCACCAGGCAGCACAGGGAGCTGACTTTGCGTGTGCGGCGTGAGTTCAACGAGGAGAGGTTCAAGCCTGCCGAGCAGAGAGACCCAGAGCGCGTTCGCCAGCTGCGCATTCAAGATCTGCGGCTCGGCATAGAGGAGGGCGAGGTAAACCCGTTGCTGGCATTATGCGCCGCCGCCGACAGCAGCGGCGGTGGAGGGCGCTGCTGCACCCCTGCACCCCCAGCCTTCACTGGCCTTCCTGGCCAGTGAAGGCCAGGAAGGCCAGTGGGTGATCTGCGTCGGTGTGGTGTGTGTCAGCGGGGCAGGCCTGTGCGCTGTGTGGACTGGAGGTTGTTGCAGCCGTGGCTTCAAACGCTCCACTGCCTCAGACAGCCGCGAGCGTTGTTTTTGTGTACTTTCTGCATGTTGTGCTGGTGAGGCGTGTTGTGAGGGAGGTAGAAGGTGTTTTGGCACTGAAAGGACGGTAGGCGCAAGCAGGAAGCGGCAGGCCGCAACAGCAACGGCAGCTGCGGCAAGGGAGGGCTCCGGACACAGGCACATGTGTACAGTGGCAGTGTCTGCAGCGGCTTGCAGCGTGAGCAGCTCAAGTCACCCTGTGCACAACCAACACTATTGAACTGCTCGACCCTGCTGTCCACTGGCTTAAACACAAGGAATTCGGTTACACGCGAGGCAGGGAGGCAACCGTGCAGCAGCTGCTTAACAATACAATGCGGCGTGTTCCCGGGCGCCCGCCCCCCCCATCCTCTGTCATGACCGCGCCTCAGCGCCGGCGTGTTCATGCTGCTTTCCAGCCTGCCCGTGGCCTGAGCCCAGGTGCAGCAGTGAATTCAGTCCTGCATCTCCTCCTCCTCCACCTTGGGAGCCAAGTAGAAGCCGAGGCGGCCCACATCGGGCACATGGTACTCCACCACAATGGGCAGATCCTTGGACAGCTTCAGCACCACGTGGGTGGACAGCGGCGTGGCCTGCAGCGGGCGGGGCAGGCGGCGGGAAGGTTGAGGGCGGTACTGGGGGGGTGAGCGCCCCGCCGGTGCCCTCCGGCGGCCGCAAACACCGCCCAAGGCATGGCCGGTCGCACTCCATGGGCGCATTCCAGCCCGACTGTCCACTGCTGCGCGACCAGCGGCGCCCTGCGCAGCTGCATCGCCCGACCACGCCTGCTTTGGCGGTGTCGCTTCCACGCAGTGTGTCAGCTGCTGCTGGCATGCGTGCGCACCTTAGCAAAGGAGTTGAGGTATCGCAGGGCAAAGGTGAGGGCCACTGGTTCGTTGATGTCAATCTCGGTGCTCTCCTCGGGCTTGTCCACGCTCTTGTTCTGCCTGCAGCAACAGCAGGGACAAACAAAAAAACAGCAAGAAAGTTGTCGGGGGACGGGGCAGGCGGCAGCCGGGAGGGCGGAAGACCAGGGGGCATGGGTGCGGCACCGCCATACCTGCCTCCGCTGGTCCACCTGGGGGGCAGGCACGCAGCGGCGGCGCTGCCCAACCACCAACAAGCGCGGCGGCAAGCACGCCTGCATCCCTGCTTTGGTCCCAGGCACGCCCCCACCTCACCCAAACCTCCCCCTTCCTCCATGCCCTGTCCACCTCCCCACCCACCCCTGGTCCACCTCCCCACCTGCACATAATGTTGGCGGAGCCGATGTCTCCGGTGGTGCCAAACTTGACGGCATCCTTGGTCACGCTGATCTCCACTGCAGGCAGCAACGGCGGTGGGTGTGGTGGCGGACGCGAGGCGGGGCAGCAGGGACGGCAGCAGGCAGCTGCGCAGGCGCCAGGAGGAGAGGATGGCAGGCAGGCCGGGGGGCAGCGCAGCATGCCTGCAGGCCGCACCAGGCTGCGGCAGGGCCTACAGCCCCAGCAAGAAGGCCTGGCCCCATGCCGTGCCAGCACGCAGCCACCCCAGGGAAGCCCCCCCACAACAACCCACCCACCAGCCCGCCCATCCAGCACGGTCCCACCCTGCCGCGCGCCCACAACCCCACCCACCCCACCAGCGTCACACGCACCCACCCCTACCCACCCACCCCTACCCACCCGTGTCCCCGATGGACGACAGGTCCTTGACTATCCGCTGGAACTCGCCCGCCGGCAGCTTCACGGTGGCGTCGTACTCCGCCTCCGGGATGCCCAGGTGCTCGCTGTCAATGTCCATCAGCTTCAGGTCAAACTCGCTGAGCCGCTCCTGGTCTGCGGGGCGGTGCGGGACGCGGCGGGGCGGCGCGGTGTGGATGGTGAGTTGGGCAGGTGGCGGGGAGTGTGGCAGGGAAGCAGGGGTCGGGCAGGAGGGGGTCAGGCAGGGTGGGAGGAGGGGCGGAGGGGAGGCAGCACAAGCTGGGGGAGTGTAGATGGCAACGGCGGCGGGCATGAGAGCTGCGCATGGCAACCACGCCAGCTGGAGGCAGCAGGCGCACGTGCGTGCACGCGGCAGGGCTGGTGCCTGCCACGCCTGCAGCCGCGAGCGCAGCACGCCATGCAGGCACAGGCCATGCAGGCATGCAGGCAGGCGGAAACTGAGGCAGGCAGGCATGCGGGCGGGCGGCTGACACACGCACTGGGCGTCTCGAACATGAAGGTGATGGTGTCGCCGTTGTCCTCGCTCTTCATGGTGATGGCGTCCTCGTTGCCCGCGCACTTCAGGATCTTGGACAGGTTGGCCAGCTTCATGCCTGCGAGGTTGTAGGGAAGGCAGGGCGAGGGCTGGGCACGGGGAGGCGGCGTGCAAGGCGGGCGGCGGCAGCGGCAGCAGGCCCAGCTCTGCACGACGCCGCGGCGCTCACCCATGCTGACGTTCCGATCGCAGCGGTAGTGCTCGAAGCCGTCTGCTCGCAAGGACAGCGCCACCAGGCTGACATGGCTGGAGTCCATCGCCTGCAGGCTGAAGCCGCTGTTGTTGCAGTCGAAGTTGGCATCCTCGATGAGGTCCTTGATGGCCTCCACCACCTGCGGGGGGCGGGCAGGAGGTCACCAGCGATCACGGGCTGGCAATGGCTGTTGTTTGAACCTGCGGCTCCCGCTGCCATCCGGCGCCGCTGCAGGCTGCATCCATCGCTCCATGTAAGCGATCGATGCCTGCTGAGCGGAGCTGGGGGTCTGGGGAGGTCGGGAGGGCGAACTCCCTGCCGGCGGTGGGCCCGGCCAGCCCCCTCTGCAGGCCCCCCTGCGCCAGTTCAGCTGCATCGCACACCTTCTTCAGCAATCCACCCTGTGCGATCCGTGCTTCAAACATAGCGCCGCTCTGCTGCAGAAATGGATTTTGATCGAGGCCACACGCAGCTAACTAGCAGAACCAGGACCAGAAAAGCTGGGCGGAGCGCTGCGGGGACTATGGAGCGATCCAGGAATGCGGAGGCAGAGCGCAGGGGCCAATGTGATGTGGGCTTGCACGAAAAGAAAGCGGCGGCGCCATGCTGGGCGGTTGCGCCCCTCGGTGGACCTGTTAATGGGCGGGGGATGGTGGCATGTGATACGTAGGGCATGCAGCAGGGTGGGTGCCGTCATGCGACATAGAACAGGGGGCACTTCAGACTCGCGCACAACTTGTTGCCCGCTTGACGTTCGCAGCAGACCTGCCCTGCCCAATATGTGCTCTCTCATACACCCTGGCCACGCCGCGGCCCAGCATTGATGCCATGATACAGCGATCAAAGAGAGTCAGCATTGTTGCGATGCTTTGGGACCATGCTGCCGCCACCCCGGCTCCCGCCCCGGTGGCGGGTGGAAAGGCCGCGGCCGGCGACTTGTCCCGGCCGCCAGCTCCCTCCCCCGCTATCTCCGGCTGCTTGGGCGATCGTGCGCCCTGCCTCACGCGCCGGCAGCGTGCAATGCAGGACGCTATGTCGAGCGGCACCATCACCCGCAGGATGCAGCACTGTGCCACCCTCGTGCGTAGGTCATATACCGCGGGTGAGGCCGATGCCGATCGTCCCAGCGCTGGCACGGTTCCTTTCAGCAGCATGCTGGGAGGTCCGTCCTGCTGTCCACTCCTGCCCCTCCTCTCATCCCCTCCCCTGAGAATGCAGCGGTGAGGCAACGGCGCTGCCCCGCAGCAGGCCGCCGGCAGTGGCGTGCGGTGGCGGCGGCAGCGGGCGCTGCCCCCGACACGCTCGTCATCACCCGCCCCGACGACTGGCACCTGCACGTTCGCGACGGCGCGGGCCTGCAGTCTGTGGTGCCCCACACCGCGCAGCAGTACGGTCGCGCCATCATCATGCCCAACTTGGTGCCGCCCGTCACCACCGCCGCCGCCGCCCGCGAGTACCGGCAGCGCGTGGTGGCCGCGGTGCCCGCCAGCCGCGCCGCCGCCTTCACCCCGCTCATGACCTGCTACCTCACAGACAACACGCCGCCGGAGGAGGTGCTGCGCGCCAAGGAGGTGCGCAGTGCGGTGCAGCATCCCAGGTTCTTCGGCAGCGCAGCCCCGTCGAGCATGCGTGGCGCTCGCCACACCCTGCCGGCCCCGCCATGCAAGCGGGCACCCCGCGTGTTCCAGCCGCCAGCAAACCGTCATGCATGGCTGCCGCCTCTGGCGCCCGCAGGCAGGCGTGGTGGCCTTCAAGCTATACCCAGCAGGTGCCACCACCAACAGCGACTCTGGGGTCACCGACTTCCGCAAGTGCCTGCCTACGCTCAGGGCCATGGCCGAGGTGGGGCGCCCCCGCGGCGACGCCCTGCCGCTGCCGCTCTGCGGTCGGGCATCATCGCCGCTCTGGTTCAGGGCCGCACAGGCTAGGGCACCAGAGGGTTCAGGGCTGCACAGGCTAGGGCACCAGAGGGCTCAGGGCTGCACAGGCTTTGCATGGGGTCGCATGGCCTGCTCGGCGTGCGTGCACGTGTGCAGGCAACCACGGCGGCGCGCAGCCGGATGCATGCAGCACTGGCGCATCGCCGCCGCCGCCGCCGCCGCCCCTTTCGTTAGTCGCCCGCTGCCTCCAGCCAGCTGCGCGTACTTCCATTAGGGGGCCACAGCAACCGCTGCCGCGCCTGCCCGCCCCGCCGCGCGCTCGTCTTGAGCGCGCGGCGCACGCCGCCCGAGCGGGACCCTGCCGCCGCTCGGGGGGCAGGGCAGGCGCCGCCTCATCCCACACCCCTTCCCCCCATGCCTCCCCCACCGCCTCATGCATGCACGCTGCACGCCCACAGCCCAGGCTGCCTCCCCAGGGACACCCGCCCCTGCCTGCCTGCCGGCCTGCCTGCCGGCCGGCCAGCCTGCCTGACCTGCCCGCCCCCTGCTGCCCCCCTCCCCTGCGCTGCCGCCGCCAGGCGGGCCTGCTGCTGCTGGTCCACGGAGAGGTGACCGACCCCGAGGTCGACTTCTTCGATCGGGAGAAAGTGTTCATAGAAACCAAGCTCAAGCCGCTGCTGGATGAGGTGCGCAGTGCACGTTGTGGTGTGTGTGTGTTGTGTGGTTTGGGGTGTATATCGTGTAGGGTGTGTGTGGTGTGGGGTGTGTGCGGCGGCGTCGGCGGCGTCGGCGATGTTTGAAGGCGTGGCGGCGAGTGGCTCAGGAGCCAGCGCCCGCGCGGCTGCGGCGCCCACGCCGCCCGCCTGCCTGCCTGCCTGCCTGCTGGCCCCGGCTCGCCCCTCGGCCGCCACGCGCCCGCCTCCTGCGCCTGCTCCACCTCCTCTGCCTGCCCCCGCGCCGCCGCCGCCGCCGCCTCAGGTCCCGGAGCTGCGCGTGGTGATGGAGCACATCACGACCGCCGACGCCGCCGCCTTTGTGGCCGCCAGCCCCGCGTCGGTGGCCGCCTCGGTCACGCCGCAGCACATGCTGCTCAACCGCAACGCGCTGTTCCTGGGGGGCCTGCGCCCTCACGCCTTCTGCCTGCCCATCCTGAAGCGCGAGGAGCACCGCGCCGCGGTGGCGGCCGCCGCCACCAGTGGCTCCCCCAAGTTCTTCCTGGGCACCGACTCGGGTGGGTGGGTGGGTGGGGGGCTGGGTCTGGGGCTTGGCTGCTGCGAACAGAACAGAAAACAAAACAAGCTTGGGCCATCGGTAACCGCTCCCCATCGGCGCACTGTGTCACTGCCGCCGCTGCCGCACAGCGCCGCGAGGCCGCCCGCGGTCCCCTCCCTGCCTCCACCCCCACCCTCCACCCCGCCCCCGCCTGGCGCGCCTCGCAGCGCCGCACCCCAAGCACGCCAAGGAGTCGGCCTGCGGCTGCGCGGGCCTGTTCAGCGCCCCGGTGGCCCTGGCCCTGTACGCTCACGCCTTTGAGCAGGCCGGAGCGCTGCAGCACCTGGAGGCCTTTGCCGCCTTCCACGGACCCGACTTTTACGGCCTGCCGCGCAACACGGGTGGGCGGGGTGGTTGCGTGGCTGGCCTGTGAGGCCGCGTGGCTGGCGGCTCGGCCCCGTCGGCTGCCTGGACGCTTGCGTGGCTGTGCGGATCGCTCGGGCTTGGTGCGTGCGCAGCAGCAGCATGCCGAGGTGAGGCGTGCACCCGCGGCTCACACTGCGTCTGCTCCTGTGCTGCAGACAAGATCACGCTGCGGCGCCAGCCCTGGACCGTGCCTGCCACCTACCAGTTTGGGGACAGCGAGGTGGTGCCGATGTGGGCGGGCCAGGAGTGCCCCTGGTCAGTGGAGGCATAGCCCAAGCTGCCGCGGGGTGGGCACTGCCTCTACGCCGGCGGCCGCCAGCCGCCGCCTGCGACCATTTTTGTCTGCCTCTTTTCGCTTCCAGCTTCTGCGCTCTTTGCTCCCGTGTGCCCGCTGCCTCCCCGTTCCTGCCTTGCTCGATTCTTCCCCTCGCTCTCCTTGTTTGCTCCCCTGTGACTAACTCACTGTTAACTATTGCTACTGTACCAGCATTGATTAGCAATGTACTGTACTGTTTCCCATGTGCAAATCATCCTGCCTCAAATCAATACATACGTACACCAGGCACAAGGGCCTGAAGAAAACAGGCTGGCGGCAGCACCAAGCAAGGCCCGGCAGGGTGCTCGCTCACATCTTGGCTGCGCCGCCGCCGCCGCCCAGGTGCTGCTTGATCCACTCGGTCATGCCTGCCACCAGCCCCTCGCTGACCCCCGGGGAGAAGAGGACCTCGTGGTAGCCGCCCGGTACCAGCTTCATGGTCTTGTCGGAGCTGCCCACCGCGGCGTAGAAGGCCTGGCTGGCCTTGGGGGAGGTGCACCTGCGGCACAGCGTGGCACAGCATGGCACAGCGTGGCACAGCGTGGCACAGCGTGGGCACAGCATGGCATGCGGCACACATTTGCAGGCCTGCGCCGAGCTGGGGTGCCCGTGCTGTCCCTCAGCCCCCCACACGGCGGCACTGGACACGCTCGCACGGCCACCGGCCCTGGCCCCTCACTTGTCTGCCTCGCCATGGTGCATGTAGAGCGGGAGCTTGAGCTCGGGCCAGCGCGGGCGCAGCCACCGCATGCCCTTGAGGCCCTCGTTGGCGGTGCGGGCAGCCAGGTTGCCCACTGCAGCAGGTCGTTGTCAGCCAATCAGCGCGGCAGCAGGCAGGTGGCAGGCGCGAGACGGGCGGCCGCAGCAGGGCTGCTGCAGGATGCAGGATGCGTGCCACATCCATGCGCACACCGCACCCACCTCGCCCCCAACCCTACCCACCGGTATTGAGTGGGTCATTGATGTATGCCTGGACGCAGGCGGGGTCTGCAGCAAGGGTAGGGGGGGCGCAAGCACGCGGATCACGATGAAGATTGGCGCAGCAGTGCTCTGTGCCGTCCTGCCACCTCGCCACCCCTCCGCCACCTGGCCCAACGTGTAGCCAGGCCCCACCCAGCCACACACGCGCACTCAGCCACATACCACCACCACACACACCACCACCACCAGCACCACCAGCCCCGCCCTTCCTGCCTGGGTTCATGTCTTTGGGGTCCACAGCAGGCACGATGCGCGCCTTGGGCACCACCGCAGCCAGCACGCCGCCCAGGGCCGCCTGGATCCTGCGTGGGCAGGCAGGTGGGTGCGGCGCGGGGATGGCGGCATGCACGGGGGCGCAGCGCCGGCGGCAGGAACCAGAGCGGGCGGCTGCCTCCAGAAACTGCATTGCCGCCGCAGGGCGATCCGACTTTAGTCCGCCGCCCCGTCCAGCGCCCAGCTCCCACACCGCCCAGCCACCCTCACTTGAGCACCGGCCCCATCTCCACATCCAAAGCGGGGGAGCACAGCATGAGGCCCGCCCAGCGTGACTGGTCACGGTGTGCGGCAAGGGACGCAATCAGCCCGCCCAGGGAGTGGCCGCCGACGAAGAAGGGAGGGGGCGCAGCGCCGGGGTACCGCCGCGCCACGTCATCGCCCGCAAACTTGGCCAGCGCCAGGAACTCGTCCACCTGGCAGGAAGGAAGGAAGGAAGAAAGGCGGGCGGGGCAACGGCGTCGGCGGCGGCAGGCGTGCGGGGCGCTCCTCAGCAGCACGGCTCGCTTGGCCAGCGCTGCTGTGGGCACTGGGCAGCAGGACTGCGATGCTGGGCCAGAGCGTCGCGCCGGATGTGCAGAGCGCTGCGCCAGGGCGGCAGGCCATGGCCGGACAGGGCGGCAGGGCAGCCGCACAGAAGGGTGGCAGGACGGGGCGGGCAGGCGCTCACCGCATCTGTGTAGGACTCCACCAGTGCGCGGTCCCCGTCGCTCTTGCCGTGCCCCACAATGTCGCCGCTGTACACCGCGATGCCCTCCTCGGCCAAGCGCTCGAAGACTGCACGCACGCGGGGAGGGGGTGCGGCGTGTGTGGTGGCGGGGAGAGGACGGCAAAAGACACATGGGCGTGCATTTGCGGTGCGTGCTGGGTGTGCAAGAGGCATGGCAGTGTCAGCCAATGTGCGCAGCGGAGCAGGCCCGCTCACTCGACTTGTAGCGCCCGATGTGCTCGCCGATGCCGTGGTGGAACAGGAGCACGGCCTTGGGCGGCCCCGCCGCCGCATCGGGCAGGTAGGTCACGCTGACCAGCTTGTGGCCCCTGGCCGAGGCCCGCTCGCCCTCGAAAAACTGCACCATGGCAGCAGCTGCTGAATGCCTGCGGCGTGCCGCTGCTGGGCGACGCGCTGCACGTGGGCGGGGGGCTGCAGGCGTGTGGGGAGGGTGGCAGGCGGCGACAGCGGTGGCAACGTGAGGCGGGGAGCGGCCGGCGGCGGGACTGAGGTGAGCCTGGCGGCAGCGTCGGGCGGCCATCCAGAGCATCTTGTGGGCATGAACCAGGCCTGCTGGCAAGCAAGCGGGCAGCGCAGGCCGCACCCCGTCTCGGCAGCGCTGAGACGCGGGCTGCTTGACACAACTGCAAGGGCGGTCGCAGCGGGAGACACAGAGGCATCAACGGCTCGAATCGTTTGCAGCCCTGCAGAAACAGGAGCCCCCGCTTTGAGCAACTGCGCCTCCACGTGGCCTGAGCGTTGTCCTGCCTCCTCCAGCCCTCCCGAGATATCTCCCTCATTGCCGGGGCGCTTGTGGGGGCATTTGGCGCCGTTTCAGGACCCGGGAGTTGGCTCCGCCACCGCCGCCATCACCGAACTGGATGCCCTGCACAGGCTGCTGAAAACACCGGCGGGGACACGGGTGAGTGGAGCATGCTGCCCCAGCGCCAATTCGCTACCTACAAGGCCCCTGCGGTGCTCACACAGCCGGCTCGCTGCCAACCGCCAACAGTTTTCGCCAGCTCCGCCCCTCCCTGTGGCCCTGCAGGCAGGCCCCTGGTTCTTCAGCAGCGGCGACTTACGCTGGTCAATGCCATGGCCGACGCCGCCAGCAGCGACCCCACCACCGAGGAGGCGTGCGCCGAACTCAAGGAGCGGCGGCGGCGGGGCAGGGAGGCGCACGCCCGCCTGGACGGCATTCTCGCAGAGTCTGCAGCAAAGCTGCGTGACATGGGCGCCACATTGGATGGCTTCGAGCAGTTCATAGAGCGGCTGAATGAGAAGGTGCGGGCGCGGGCGCAGCGGGTGGCCGACCGCCAGCCTCCGCCGCACCTGCCCAGCGGCGGCTGCTCGAGCGCCTCCTGAGCCCCCGCGGCGCAGAGGGTGCGCCGCAGAGGGTGCGGCGCTGGCCTGGTGCGGCATGGCCGACCGCTGCATGGATATGGCCAGCCTGCGGCGGAAGGAGGCCGCCGCCTTTGCCACGCTGGCGGCGCGGCAGGCCGAGGATGCTGGCAGGGCGCACGCCGCGGCGGAGGCGGCGTCGGGCCGGCCGCTGGCGGCGCTGCTCAGCCAGGAGGCCACCCCGGGGTTTGCCGCCCTCGAGATGCGCAAGGCGCTGGCGGCGCAGGACTGGGCGCACAGCATGCAGGGCCTGGCAGACCGCAGCGCGCAGCTGTCGCGGCGCGCCGCGGCGGGCGTGGCGCCCACACAGGCGCTGGCCGAGCAGGCGGGGCGCGAGGCGGGGGCCGCGCTGCACGCCTACCTCACCGCCGCCCTCACCCGGGTGTCCCAGCACCGCTGCCGGCAGATGCTATGGATGGTGGAGCAGCGGCGCCTGCAGGGCCTGCAGCCCCAGCTGGGAGACGTCGCCTGGCCGGGGTCCCCGCCACGCAGCCCTCCCAGCTGGACGGGCACCCCCAGCCCAGGCCCCGCCTCCCCAAGCACATCTGCTGCCTCTTCCAGCCAGGGCCGTGGCAGCCGCCCAAACCCGCCGGCCCAGGGCCCGGCCCAGCTGGCCCCGGAGCACAGCCAGCAGAGGTGGCAGGCTGCCGTACCCCAGCTGGAGCAGGCAGCGGGGCGGCCGAGAGGTGGCATGCACGGGCGCCTGGCGCCCGTCGTGGCGCCGCGGCGGCAGTTTTGGCCTGCGCCCCCGCCCGTGGCGGCCGCCATGGCTCCTGCGGCCCCGCAGCGGGCGCAGCAGCGGGCCCGCCTGGCCGTCAGCTCTTCAGATGAGCTCAGCGGCTGGGGCAGCGAGGAGGAGCGGGCAGAAGGGCCGCTGTCGGATGGGGGTTCGCCAGCGTGGCAACGAGGCGACGTGACATCAGCGCAGGCAGAGGAGGCACTCCCATCGCCAGCAGGGGGCGGTGCAGAGGCGGTGGCTGCAGAGGGGAGGCGGGGGGCGGTGCAGCGGAAGCCAGAGGAAGCAGCTGGGGGAAGTGGAGCCGCGCAGGGGCAAGCGCGTGGGCGGATAACAGGCGTGCCGCATCAGCAGGGCTCGCCACCTGAGTGGGTCGTACCGCCGGCGCAGCCCCAGCGCACCAACCACACCGCCACAGCAGCGCTGAAGCTGCTGTCGACCCAGCGGCTCGTGCTGCCGCCACGCCAGGAGCAGAATCGGCCGTACCAGCGGCGGGAGTGGTGGGAGCCTGACCGGCCGCTGTGGCAGGAGCAGGGTTGGCTGTATCCACCCCAGAAGTGGTGGGAGCGAGGACCGCGGCTGTGGCAGGAGGAGGCACAGCGGCCAGTGGCCTCGCAGTGGCCGCAGATTGATTCGCCGGCATTGCTGCACTTGTGGCAGTCAAAAGCAAGCACCCCAGTGGCACACCTGGCTGAGGCGGGTGCAGCGGGGAAGGAGAATGATGCTGGCGCCAGCTGGCGCCAGGGCGGGGTGGGAAGGGAGCGCGCTGCAATGACGCCAGCACTAGGCTGCGAGCAGGTGCCAGCGACGGGCTTTCTGAGCGCGGCGGTGGAGCAAGACATGCCTGTACCGACGGTGCAGAGCAGCAGGTGGGTGGCCGACAGCCGCTGCCAGCTGCCAGCGGCCAGCCTGCCCACCTCCTCTAATGGCTACAGGCCTGGCTGAGTGACTCAGGAAGCTGCAGCCAATGACAAGCCGCCCCAAGCGGCATGCCCGCACTGCAGGACCGACCTCGGCATGTGGTGACGCGAGCTGACGCAGACTCAAGAGGAGGGGCAGGGTGGCGGTGGGGCAACCGCGCTGAGGCGGCGCACCAGCCAGGCCGGCGCAAGCTCCTGCGCCCTGCGCCGCCTGCTGGGATCCTGCTTCGGGCTTGGCTAGCCCACAACAGGTGATTGTACAGTATTGCAGGATGCAGACACAACTTACAAACTAGTAGATAACAATGGTGTTAGCTGGTTGTACATGGTGGCAGGACGCGCTCGCTACTTGAAGAACTCGTACTTGCTGTTCAGCGCCTTCACAATCTCCTCCCTCAGCACCACCTCCTTGCGGGTGCACCTCTCCTGCATCGCCTTGTCGGGGTGGTAGTGCAGGATGGCCTGCTTGAGCAGGCGCTTGCTGTTGTCCGCATTGGGGGTCTCCTCCAGCTTGTGCTCCGGGTTGGCGGGCGGGTGCGCGGTATAGATGTGAACCAGCAGCGTGTGGGCGGCGGTTGCCTTGGCCTTGAGCTCCTCCAGCACGCTGCCCAGCTCCTGCGGGACAGCCAGGGGGTGCAGCATGCTGAGAGGCAACACAGGGCATGGCAGCACAGGGCAACCATGGGGGGGAGGGAGCATGCATCAGGGCACCACCCTTGCCGGCACCTGCCCCCGCGCCGCTGGATCAGGCGCCAGGCGCCCACCTCGAGGTACGGCTGGCGTTCCGCAGCCAGCGCCGCCTCCTCCTGCGCCACCGCCTCGCGCTGGTAGCGCTGCAGCGCCTCGCTGCACGCCACAAACCACTCCTCGCCTTGGAAGGAGCGCGGCGACAGGGAGTTGGCTAGGTGCATCGAGCGCACGAAGCAGACCTTGGCTCGAGAACGGTCCGACAGCACCTTGTCGTACACTGCAGGCAGGCAGGCAGGCAGGCAGGCGCCCAACAGCAGGCCAGGCAGGCGCCCAACAGCAGGCCAGGCAGGGCCTGGCAGGCAGGGAGTCGGGCGGGCACGGGGCATGGTGCCCGAGGTGCTGCGGCTTCCAGGCTCAGCGCGCCCCCACCCCTCCAGCCCACGCGCCAGCCTGCCGTGCCATGCAGTCACGGCACGGCGCGGCTGCGCTGCCCAGCATTGCAGGTGCCAGTTGGCGCACGCAGCCCGGCAGCGTGCAGGCTGCGCAGCGCGCTCACGGCGGCCCAGCGCGCTCAGCGCGATGGCCTCATTCTCCAGATCCACCTCCTTGGTCAGCACCGCGGCCTGCTTGAAGAGGTCCGCCGCCAGGTGCACCGCCCCCATGTCCAGCTCCTCGGCGCCCTCCAGGGCCTGGTCCAGCAGCTGCCTGCCCTGGTGGCAGGCCTGCACCGAGTCGCAGGTGCACTTCTGCAGGAACAGCGAGGCCTGCAGCTCGTCCGCCTGCTGCCTCAGGGCGGAGGAGCCGCAGCGCCCCGCCGCCGCCTTTGCCTCTTCCAGGGGGCGCCTGCAGCGAGCGGGTCATGCATGCGGGTCAGCAGGGCGAAGGTCCTGTGCGCCGGCGCTGCGTGCCGCACCGTGCTTTGCGTGAGCCCGGCGTCCAGCAATGCACGCGCCCGGTGGGCTGGCAGCAGCGCGTGCGCACTTGGCCTCGCTGTTGGTGTATGCCGCTGAAAAAAAGTCCTCCTCATCGCACAGCGTGACCCCGGCCTTGAACAGCTTGTCAGCATGCGGCCGGGGCGGGCTGTTGGGGTACCGCCTGAAAGCAACAGAAGGTGCGGCGGCGGCGGTGGCTTCCAGCTCAGCACAGGATGGCGTCTGGACCTGCCTGCGATGGACAGCAGCATCTCGCCGCCCAGCATGCCCCGCGTGCCGTCCAGGGAGGCGCGCAGGCGCTCCGCGCATCCCAGCATGTCGTGCAGATCCCCGTCGTGCTCTTCCAGCGCTGCACATCCAGGGTAGCAGCACATCCCATCAGCGTCCAGCCAGCCAGGCTGCTGGTCAAACCAGTTTTTGTTTTTGCTACAGCAAAGCGCAGTGCGCACCGGTGTCGGACGCGCCCTTGGCCTTGTGTGCGCAGTCAGCCAGCCAGCCTGAGGCCATGCAGATGCTGCCATACTCGGCGGCCAGCATGAAGTGCTTGGCGGCGGCTCACGCCAGCGGCGCCGCACGTGGCTCATCGCAAACCTCGTACATCCTGATCGCTGCAGCGCCCAGGTTCTTGCTGGCCTTGGCGCGCTCCTCACCTGCACGCATTCCGCACAAAATGAGGAATGAGTGACTCTCCATCCTTTCAGGCGGAGGCGAGCCTCGTCACGGTCTGGCGGCCGCTCCGGCTGCCACCGCTGCCGCCTGGAGTGCTCCACTCCCCCTGGCCTTGCCTGTAGTGCTGATCTCGAACGATTAGGCATACTTCTCGGCCGCCAGCTGCAGGCGGATGAGCCGCAGCGATCGCCCATTCACAGGCCCTGCCTTGGCGAAGAGGGCATTGCCCTCCTCTCGCAGCTTTTGCGCGCTGGGCCTTCTAATATCTGCGGCATCGTGAAGTGTCGTGCAGAAGCTAGCTTCAGAGTCTGTTTATCTCCCGTCGCTGTCGCCCCTCCGAAACTGCGACTGAGCAGCTCCGCCCCCGTGAATGGGCCTCCTGTAGAAAAAAAAATTGCAAAGAAGCGAGGGCGGCGGGACAGTACGGCGCCTGGTTGTTCGCCGTGCCGCCGCTTGAAGAAGCGGCACAGCCGCGGCGGCTTCCACGGCCTTGCTCGCTTAACCCTGACAAAACTGATCCTGAGTGGGACACCGAACCACGCCATCCAATCTTCACGTGACCGCAAGGTTTGCATGAATGCAGTTGGCGGCGCCACCGCTGGAGCACCGCCGACAGGCGGCGAATTGGTCTATAGCATTGATGACGGTGGCGGAGCTAATGAATCATCGACCTATTCTTGCGCGCTTGCACCTGTGCCCAGGTCTGAGCCCAGGCCTCTGCCCAGGCCCCTCCTGCCCTGGGAAGGGCGGCCGACGCGCCAGCTTGACGCCACATGGCGGGAGAAGTGTACCCAAGTCCTCCCCGCCGCTACCGCCTCATCCTCGCCCTCTGGCCGCCATGGAGGGCTTCTCTCAGGGCCTGGGGGCCAGCCAGGCGTTCGATTTCAACATCACAGAGTCCCAGCTGCAGTCGCAAGTGGACTTTTCGTTTCTGGACTTCAATCAGACGCAGGAGGCGGGCGGGGCAGGCGCATTTGACGACTATGCCGATCTCAGCCTCCCGCAAGCGTCGCAGGTGGGCCAGTGCGGCAGCCCTGTGCCAGCCGCGGGAGGCCCAGCTGGCCTCACACGACCGCCTAGGTGTTTGAGGTGCTTCAGTGGGGCCGCCGCGGCGTGATCGCCACATCACCGCATGGTGCCGCCGCTGCCGCCGCCCCGCAGGTGCCCACCTTCCAGCCCACACAGGGCGATGCAGCGCTGGGCCTGGACGTGGCCCTGGGGGAGCTGGCTTTTCAGGATGCCGCGGAGGAGGCTGCGCCGGAGCAGCCCACAGAGCTGCCCGAGTGGGCGTGCGCGTGCGTGCGGCCGCCGCCTGCCCTTTGCTGCTTGTTCGCCGAGCCGCTGCTGTGCCTGGCCTGGCCTGCGACAACACTCAGCGCGGCAGCAGGGACCCGCTGGGGACTGTGCAGAGAGCGTGTGTGCAAGTCGCAGCAGAGCGGAATGCAGCAGCCGCAGTGCGCCGCCTCCCAGATTTTTCCTGCTGCCAACCTCTGTCCCCTGCTGCCCGCCTCCCTTCGGCCCCCCACCCCACACCTCCCTGCAGCTACTGCGGCATCCACAACCCCGCCTGCGTGGTCAAGTGCCTGACCACGGGCAAGTGGTTTTGCAACGGGCGGGTCACGGGCACCGCGTCCTGCATCATCACGCACCTGGTCAAGGCTAAGCTCAAGGAGGTGAGCAGCACAAGTGGCATGGCCAGGGGAGGCGGAGCTGGTGTGTGTGTGGCGTGTGTTGCGTGTTGTGTGGTCGCTGCGAAGGAGGGAGCAGGGGCGATTCCCTGGATTGCCCGCCACAGCCTCCGCTGAGCCAGCCCCCCAACCCCCAGGCGCCCAGCAGGCTTGCAGCCAAGTAAGGACGAGGGCTGCCGCCTCCCACACCGCTCCCCCCGTGCCCCGTATGCGTGTGTGCCTGCAGGTGGGCCTCCACAAGGACTCCCCGCTGGGTGAGACGGTACTGGAGTGCTACAGCAGCGGCAGCCGCAACGTGTTTGCCCTGGGCTTCGTGCCGCTCAAGGACGAGAACACGGGTGGGTGCCCTGTGGGTGCCCTGTGGGTGGGTGGTGCGGTGGGGCAGCAGAGGGTGGGCGGGTGTCCCAGTGTGGCCAAGGAGGGCACAGAGCAGCTGGCCGGCTTGCTGCCGTTTGTCTTCTAGACGGCTGAGGGCACCCTGTGCACACCGCTGCGCACCCTGACTGGCCCCCTGCCCGCCCGCCATCCCTCCCTCTCCTGCAGTGGTGCTGCTGGCGCGGGACACGCCCCCCGCCGCCCCCGGCATCAAGGACTTGAACATAGACATGACCCAGTGGCAGCCGCTGATAGAGGACAGGGCCTTTGTGGCCTGGCTGGTCAAGGTGAAGGCGGCTGGGGTGGTGCGCTGTGGTGGCTGTGTGTGGTGGCAAGGATGGATGTCGCTGCCCTCGCAAGCTGGCTGCCGCCTTGCTCCGGCCCGCGTTGCGGCCGCCGCACCGACGCGTTGCCACACCCCCTAACTAGCTGCGTATGTATGTACCGCCTCTTGCAGGCCCCCGGGGAGCATGAGGTGCTGCGTGCCCGCCACCTCAGCGTGCACCAGGTCACGCGGCTGGAGGAGGTGTGGCGCAGTAACCCGGGCGCCTCTGGTGCGCCCGCCTGCCTGCCTGCCTGCCTGCCTGCCTGCCTGCCTGCCTGCTCACCTGCGGTGCAGCAGCCGCAGGGTTGGCTGGATGGCCCGCCGCGGTGCAGCAGCCGCAGCCAGGCAGCGGAGCTGCTGCCTGACAGCGGCAGCGCCGCTCCACGCGTGTTGTGCCCTGCCGCACCCTTCACCTCCACCTTCCTGCCCGCCTGCCTGCTTGCCTGCCTGCCTGCCTGGCGTGCAGTGGAGGAGCTGAGCCAGCCCGGCAAGGAGGAGGAGCCGTGCCCGGTGGCTCTGCGGTACGACGACGCCTACCAGTACCAAAACATCTTTGGGCCCCTCATCAAGCTGGAGGCAGACTACGACAAGGCGATGAAGGAGAACCAGGTGTGGCGCCAGTGGTGTGTGTGTGTGTGTGTGTGTTTGTGGTGCCAGTGGTGTGTAGTGACGGGAGTGGTGCCAGGTGTGTGCTCTGTGGTAGAGGAGACGAGGGCGTGTGTGTGCTCTGTGTGGCGGAGGAGAGGAGGTGGTGGTGTGGTCTGTGTGGCGGTCAGGGCGTGGTAGCAGGTGCTTGGGGGGAGGGCAGGGGTGGTGGGCGCGAGCAGCGCGCTGGGCAGGCGCCAGGCGGCTAGGGCAGGGCTGCTTTTTTCACGGCGGCGCCGCCGCCGCCACACCACACCCCGCCCCGCGCGCGTGCAGGTGCGCGAGAATGTGACTGTACACTGGGGGGTGGGCCTCAACAAGAAGGTGGTGGCGCGCTTCTACTACCCAAAGGACTCTGCCGACATGCGCCTCATGATCGGTGGGTGGTTGGCTGGGGCCGGGGCGGCAGCGTGGCAGCGGTGAAGTGCCTGGTCGTGGGCCGGGCGAGCGGCAGGGCAGGTGTGTGGGTATGGGACGGCAGCTGCCCTCCCGGCTGGCGGGAGGACTGCCTGTGGCAAGCTGTCGCGTGGGAATCCCTCCTCACTGGCCCCGCCCCACACCTTGCTGACCCCGTGCACCTCGCTGCCACCCCCCAAAACCGCGCCGCCGCACAGGCGACGAGCTGAGGCTGCGGCACCCGTGCCCGCGCGCGGGCTCGCCCCCCTGGGTGGGCATCGGCTTTGTGTCTCGCCTGGACGATGCGTCAGAGGAGGTGGCCATCGAGCTGCGCGGCAAGGAGAAGGGGCAGGGCAGCGCCCCCACCGACGTCACCACCGGCTTTGTGGGTGCGGAGGGCAGGGCATGCCTGCTGCGGCGGGGGCGAGCGGTGGCGTACCCGGCAGCTGCCGCTGCTGCCACGCCTGGCCGCCTCCTGGCTTGTGTAGGCTGCCTACGTCCTCCTGCCTCCCTGCTGCTTCCCTACCCTACCCTTGCCTTCCCCCCAACCCAGCCCTTGGCCCACACTCCCTGCCCGCCCCGCCCCC